TTTTCCTTCATAACAAAACCATTTGAATGTATTTAAGGGATTTCTACTTTTCTAGTAATTCAGAAACTTTTGGGGGTTTTTTCTTTTCTGCAATCGCCACAAACCTCAGGGATGTTCTGCAAATTTATCCTTCTTTTTCCAGCCAAAACCTGACAAAAACTTGCTCAAAAATATGTTCACAATTTTTTTATATACCTGACGATTTTCTCCGAGACGTAGCCTCCACCAACTCGGCCCAGAAAGTTCCAAATGCTGATCATTGAAACAAACACATGCGTGTTATCATACCCCAACGACTGACTCATCTGCCCCAAATTATCGATCACGGTCAATCCCGAGCCAGACCCCAACAGAAGAGAAAAGAAAATAAGCCACAAATCGGCCTTTATCAATGCTTCCATCACCGTAAAATCCTCCCCTCTGTGGGGCCTACGTTTCTTGATTCTAACCGCACCTTCAGCTGCAGCCTGAGCTAACTTCGTCTGAAGCTGCAAAATCCTCTTCTGCCTCTCTAAAGCCGGGAGCAAATCCATCTCCTTCGGCTTCTCCTCCTCAGTCTCGCTAAATATTATATCCTGATTTTCTTCTTGCTTCAGAGAGTCGGGCAAAAGTGACTCGTCTAACGTTGAAGTCGGCTCATGGGAGAAAAAAGTCAACGTGACTGGGACAAAAATGGGAATCAGCACGAGCACAAACAAAACTACTGTACATATAGTAATGACATTTTGGCTCAAGTCGATTAGATCCTCAACGAGCATGACGCCCATTAAATAAGCAGCTAAAAGAAGGCAAATGCTGTAGATAATTGAGAAGCTGAACCCATCTGAGGATCTTATCTGCCTGTGGCCACCAACGGGCCGAACGATGAACATGAGTGAAACGGCGACCATTGTTGGCCCCACGGCCACCATGAATAAGAGTGAAGCTTGATCAGGGGAATGGATCAGTGCATAGATTTGGGTTAAGATAGCGCCGCTTAATCCAGCAAAGCCCTTGAGAATGCCCACAACGGGCCCACGGCTTCTAGGGAAGTTCTGCACGCAAGACACTAATGCGGCCGTGTTGAAGTAGGTCTCGCCGTTTGTTCCCACGAAAATAAGAATGCACATCTAGGCATGAAAAAAAAAAAAGGAATGAAATCAGTTAATCATTGTTTTGATTTTTTCGAATTTAATTGTGCTGCCAAAAGATATAGTTTCAAAAAAGGTGAGGCATAGTGTTGCTGTCATTGTATAGTCTACCTGACCTTGTGCATAATCAGAAACGCGA